GGACGGGAAGGTTTGAGGTTTTGGGTACTTCGACGCTTCCTATGGTGATGGTAAATGGTGGTGGTGGTGGTGATCATGATGATGCTGGAATTTGTGATGGTGATCGTGATTGCACTTACCGAAACTGATTGTGTAAGACTTCATACGAAGGAGTGGGACCTGCCAGGCTGGGAGCCAGGTTTGTATCCGATCTTCCCATCGAAAGGGTGGCAATGGTCCTTGGACGGATATCGGAAGCATCCAGTTTTGAGTGTGAAACGCACGCAGTTTATGATCACTTCGTCTTTGGCAATGGCGGCGCACGCAGCGCAGGGTCGGACCATGGGGATTGTCATACCGGACCTCGAAAAAGGGCGCGGCGTGAGTTGGAAGTCAAGATACGTTGCAATCACGCGCGTGCGCAGACGAGGGGATCTTTTGATTTCCTGGCCTTTTGATAGGAAGCCGTACACAGAGGGTGAGATGGCTGGCGCGAAAAAGCTGTTGCAGGTGCTCCGAGGGGAGGGCGTGGATTGGGGTGAGTGGGAGGCGCAACTGATCGGGCGAAGCCAGTGTGGGGGGTACCGGTGGAGACTGCTTGTAGAGGCGTCTGCGAAGTTCGGAATCCAGAGGAAGGAGTATCCTGCGTTTTGTAATGAATGCGCTGCGCAAGTGAAGAGCGAGGATGAGAAGTGGTGCAGGACGTGCAAGGGGTGGGCAAGCAAAGCGGATCGTGATGTTCCGACGCAACGTGGCGACGATAGGGGCGTTGCGGGATATGGCGACGGGAGGGGCGCGACAAATATTTGGACTCCTTGTTGCGGGAAGTGCCGGGATGTCGAGTAGAAGAACCAGTCGCGTAGTAGGGGGGCGAAGTTGCGAGAGAGAGAGAGAGAGAGAGAGAGAGAGAGAGAGGGAGAGAGAGAGAGAGAGAGAGAGAGAGACAAAAAAAGAAAAAGCAGAGCGCCTGCAGAGTGCGATGTTCAAGCAAAGCGTGCTTTTCGCTTTTTGACGGCAATGCGGACATGTCGGAGGCGCAACAGAGACGCGCCGCGGCTGGGGAAAGACTTTATCGGACATGCGCCGAGGCAAATCAAGGGCGGCGCGAGAAACACGTGCAGAGACAGCGAACCGCGAAAGAAAGGCAGAGGCGGAAACGACGTCGTTGACGTGCTGCGCTTCAGATTGCGGGGTGATTTTTGGGACGCGGATCATTTGGTTCGCAATCAGAAGAAGGGCCATCGGACGAAGAAAAGAGGGAGAGTGGTGCGCGGGAGCTGCAGCAAACGCGACATAACCTCGCAGGGGTATTCAATGAGTCGCAGCGCCTGCAGCGACAGTTGACTCGTGCGTCCTGCGAGAAAGAGTTCGCCCGGCAGGAGCACATCAGCGACGATCGAGTGAGCGGGCACTTCGCAGGGGAGAGTAAGGTTGCATGCGCAGAATGCGTTGCCGAGGGGTTCACGGAGCGCAAGTGGCAAGCTTACCAGTGCAGTGGCACATGCCAAAAGAAACTGCCAAAGTCGGCCTTCGCCGCGGGCGGTGGCCACGTCGCGCGTGACGCAAAGAAGGACACCCTCGAATGCAAGTCATGCGAATGGTATTCGTTTCGGCGCCAATGTCATTGCGCATGGCGGCCCGAAGAGCACCCGCGGTGGAGTGTATGGGTGTTTCGTAGAGGGTTTCGTGGGGTGTTTCGGGGGGTGTTTCGTTGGGTTGTCATCCCGTGTCGTGTATCGTGGGGTGTTTCGTGGGGCGCTTCGTGTAGTGTTGGCTGATGTGTCTTGTGTTGTGTTGCGTTTGGTATTTCGTGGGGTGTTTCGCGCGGTGCTGGTGCTACGCGTGGCGTGGGCCCTTGGTGCCTGGATTGCGGTTTAGAGCGACGCGCCTCAATTGGTACCGTTTGAGGCAAGTCAGCCGAAACGGGGAGGGAAGACGTTCGGATAATGAGAGCGAGGGGAAAACGGGGAGGAGGACGAGGAGGAGGGGGGCAATGAGTAGGATATTGGGGGTGAAGAAGGCGACGACGGCGACGACGAGGGTAGAGGGCTAATGGATGTTGATCGGGATCTCGTGGTTTGCCTTCGGGGGCCTCCTGGAGCCAGGTTCGACGCCTCGTGGTCGCCGTTTCGCAGCCTCTTGGGGGCTTCCCGGGTTTTTTTTAAGACCTCTTGGAGGCCTCCTGGGGCCTCTTGGGGGGGCTCCTGGGGACCCCTTGGGGACTTTGGTGGGCTTCTTGGAGCTTCCTGGCGACCTCTTGCGGCAGAACGCTGCTGCTTTGGGTTCGTGGTTCCCTTGTCGGCTCCATGTGGGGCCTGTCTTGGAACTCTCTTGGGCTGTTTCGGGCGCCTCTTGGACCGTCTTGGAGGCTTCTTGGGCCGTCTTGAAGCGTTTATGGAGGCCTCCTAGGCCGTCCTGGGGCGGTCTTGGGGGCTCTTGAGTCGTCTTGGCACGTTGTTCAACATGTATGCTTTATGAAAAAGGAATGGGACCATGTTGGGTCGGAGGACCCTCTTGGAACGCATGTTCGGGGCCTCTTGGAATGTCTTGGGAGATTCGGAGGCCGTCTGGAAACCAGCATCGGCGTTTTGGGGCGGTGTTTCGGCCACTCGTGACCCTCTTGGACCATCTGGGGGTCGTCTTGGTGCCCTTTTGGACGGTTTTGCCCCTCCCCCCCCTCCCTGGCGCGCATTCTTCGGGACCTCCCAGGGGGGGGGGTCGAATGTCCAGTTTGGGGTCCCCAGGGGGGGGATTATTGGGGGGACAATGTCACACGCCTAGAGACCCACAAGGGGTCGGCGGATTCTCCCGTACCGCAGGAGCAAAAGAAGGAGGAGAGGTGCCGAGGACGACGAGGAGGACGACGACCCCCGATGGTCCCCAGAGGTCTCAGGGTGTCCCTTGTCTTCCTGGCTCGGAAGGCCGCGGAAGGGCCAACCACGTCCAAGACCTGCGCAAATACGTGCATGGTCGACGGCGACAGCGATGACAACGACGACGCCAGCCGCGTCCGTAGCGGCGGCGGCGATCAGAGCCCGCACGCTGGACGAGCGCTGGCTGGGGCCGCAGGCCCTGCGCAACCGCGGCAACGAAAGCGACCCCGCGAATCCCAAGAAGGCACAAGATGATTCACAAATCTTGATCCTGGACCCTCGATCCTCATTCTCCCCTTGGATCGCAGACGGCTGCGACGACGTTGGCGGCGACACCGACAGCTACGACCACAACCACGACGACCACGGCGGTGACGACGTTGACGGCGAGGAGCCCTGGCGGACTCCAGAGGTATGGCGACGACGACCACGACGACGACGATCGGTCGACGACGGCCGACGGCCTCCACAATTCTCCAGAGTCCGGAGGCCTCTGGAGGCCCCAGAAACGCACAGAACGCCCCTGAACGTGCAGTCGTCCGGTCGCGTCCACAGACTACGACCACCACCACCGTGACCAGTGCGGCCGCCGCGACGGTCGTCACGACGGCGGCGGCGGCTGTGGCGGCAGCGGCCGCCAGGGCGGCGGCGGCGGCCTGGCGGCCAGGAGCCACCAGGGCCCTCACTGGCCACCGTGGCGTTCACGTTACTTGCGCAGTCTGGGAAACACTCGGAGCCTTCCGATGCGTCGCACCTCGATCTCGCATGGCTCCGCGACTGCCCGCAGAACCCGAATCCATCCCCCAGAAGGCTCATCACCTCCACGCGCCAATTGTGGCCCATGCCAGGGGGGCCGTTCCTTTGGTATCTTGGGGTTTGTGGATTGCCGCGAGGTCCATTGACGACGATTGCGCAGTCGTCTAGAACCACGCGCGCTCGCATAGCGCGCGCGTGGCTCTAGTGTGCGTGTGTTTGTGTGTGTGTGTGTGTGTGTGTCTGTGTGTGCGCGTGTGTGTATATATATATATATATATATATATATATATATATATGCATATATTCACAAAACGTGCTGGGGTACTGGAGGTCCAGAGCCCGGGCTGGGACACCTTCCCGGATTCCCCCCCGTGGTGGCCCACGATATTTTTGATTGTTTCGGGGCCTCACGGGCCCTCTCCCCCCGCTGGGTTCAACAGCTCCACAAACTACCAAAGAGCGACCAGATCGGCCTGACAGGGCCCAAGACGCCCGAGTGAAACAATAAAAGAGGTCCCGAAGGTGTTTTAAGAAGGCTCCATATTGCGCCTCGAGTGGGCCCTAGGAGGCCCCACTTGTTTCGTTCCATGAGCAAACAGTTGGTTCGGCGACGGGAACATCCTTATGCAATCATGTGTAGCGCAGGGCGTGGGTGTCTCTTCATACACTGCGTACCGGGCAAGGCGGAGAGATGGCTGCTGCGGAGCACGCGTGCACGGGTGCGCTGAACTCCTGGGGCGCGATCCGCGTGAAGGGTGTGCCGACTAATTCGGATGCCCCCGCGCGAACACGTCCATTGAGGCCGCGGGTGGACCTCCTCTGGGCACGATCCGTGCGAAGCATGTTCCGAAACAGGCGGGGGGACGCCACGTGAAGCTGAACATTGGTGCGTGCCATCAGTGGAGCTCCTTTTGGGGCATGATTCGCGCGACGGGTGTGCCGACGGTTCTGCCAACCTTGTCTCTGGGGACGTAGGTGGAGCTCCCTGTGGGGCGCGATCTCTGTGAGGGGTGTGCCGACATGGGCGGGGGGACGCTAAGCCAAGCTTGTCGTTTGGGCCGCAGGTGGAGCTCCCTGAGGCGCACGATCCGTGTGACAATATATGTCCTCCGATGCCGAACACTTTAGACTACATCGACAGCTCGCTAGAAGCTAAGCGCGCGCGAAATGCGTGCGTGATTCTACAAGGTAACCATACACACATTTGTGTACATATTCATAGAAGAGATCTGATACTGTAGTATAAGACAGCATAAGAAAACATGCGAGAGGCGAGATCAGTCTGCCTCCTATCCCCTCTTCCCCTCTCAGCCCCAGGCTTACCCTATGCTTCTGCCTCCACGTCTGCCTGTGCTTCTCCCCCCCCCTCTGGCTCGGCGCCCCGGTGGGCAGGCCTCGCCAGCGCGGGAGGAGTCTGGCTACTCGTCTTCGGAGTGGACGTCCTCACACGGAGCTGGCCGATCGTCTGAGTCTTCGTCGTCTCCGACTCCTCTGAGGGAGGTGGTCCAGGACGCCGCGCCTTCTTTTCCCAGAGTAAGCAGCCTTGTGGAACTGCTGAGGGGGAGATGAGGGGGAAGCCGAGGAGGTTGCAGGCCAGGCGCGTCTTTCCCCTCCCATCTCTCCCCTGCCCCCCATCCCCTCCCACTTGTTCCCTTCCACTGACCACGAGCACGATCCTGATCATCACCTCACGCCTCTTCTATTTGCCCCAGGTCGTGGAACATTTTGCGCATGCCTTCTAGTTGCGGCAGTTTCGTGCTCTATTTCATCGGGAGCCTCGAGACGGGGGTCAATGCAAACGGGGGTCAGTCAGAGCGCCGGATGTTGCAGGATCCTGCAGGGCCATGGTCGCATCGGCCCGGGCTCGGGTGCAGGACCCTGTAGCATCCTGCAGGGTCCTGCAGAGCCTGGCTGACCCGGGTCTCCCTTGACCCAGGTCAGTAGATCTCCGATTTCATCCATTTTTCCTACATGCGCTAGTATCTCTTCTCATTTCAACCGCACCTTCTACACCCACGCGTTCCGAGGCTACGATCTCTTGCGCCATGCCCAAGCGGGCACGGGTAATTATTTCGTGGCCCGGCACATCAGCGCCGCTTTGTTTCGCTCCGCTCCGTTCCCCTCCACTCGGTCTGCATGGCGTCTTCAGCGTAGTGCACAAACCCGGCAACGATGCCCTCTGGCGTCTTTTCGCGGACTTGCGACTTCCGAGTTGCCCTCCGTTCCCCTCCTCTGTTGTCCTAAAAGGCGTCTCCGCTCCTCTCCCGCCTCCCTTCCTCCTTGCGCTTCACTCCCCCTCGGCCCTTCCCTCCCCTCCTCTGCTGTTTCAGTCAATGCACCCCTTCCGCACCACCAATCTTTCGCCCTGCCTGCTGTCTCTCCTCGCGCGCGCTGTCCGCCTGCTGTACTGACTGACTACTTCTGCTCCCGCAACTATGCTACTTTGGCTCTCGGGAAACGGAAAGTAGCGAGCCTGCGGCGCGCGCGCGTGCGTCGGCCGGCGGGCCGGCCTCCTCCCTTCAGTGTTGCCTTAGTGTATGCCTGACGGCATTGTCCCTTCTTACCCATGTCATCTGCGGAGCCCACTGACCATGATATATTTTCGGAACATATTGCAGGGATTATGAGTATCCAGGCAAAAAAATGGTTATCAGCCGAAGCGACGGCACAGCCGTTCGTTTCGCAGAGCATGGGATCGCAAGAAGGAGCGCTCGGACGAACAGAAGATCGAATACCTTCTGAGCGCACCAAAAGTACAGGCGCCTCAACGAGGCGACAAAATCCTCTCGACCTTCCCGGAAAGAAAGCATCAGATTTTGTATTTGAGTTCGCAGAAGGGGACTCATCGGTTGATTCGGTAACGAGGTCCAGAGAACAACCCTTGAACGGGAGGTATGGCGCAGCTAAAACTTCCGCCGAGGGACAATCTGAGTTGGTGTCGGCACGCCCAGGCTTTCAACCATCGACCGACATTGATCCCGAAAAGGAGCAGTTGTTGGATCACATCCCCTTCCAAACATCGGGCGACGAAAGCCTAGGCGCATAGCGTGAGGTGCAGTGTACGTCGTACGGACAGAGTGAGGATGTGAGCGATTTACAATCTGAAGGGGATAGCTTTCGTTCGATAGGACAGAGCGAATAATATGTTCGATTCCACACCTCGCCGGGTCCATCGCGCCATCTCGATCCTCTCCCTGACCGGTGTGTCGGTCTCGCCCCTTGCCGTGTAGCGATTGAGGTAAGTCAGATAGCCATTCTCGATTCGGACGATGACCTCGAAGACGGAGAGAACCCAAACCAAGGTGGCTGCTCGTCGGCACAGCCGATGTCGAGCTACCCCGACGAAGTGCGTGCAGTGAGAAAGACGCGAGAAACTACAGGCATGGCTCCCGTCCGCGAACGAAGAAACCGAAGGGTGAGGACGATGACGTGAATATCTCGCCCTTGCTGCAGGGCTTTTACAGGCCAGACTTCTCATTGCCCAGGACAAACAGAGTGCCAGAATTTGATGAGCTCGTAATGCAGGACGAAAGAGACGACTTAGCAAGGCACAGGGGCGTTGTCAAGAGCGAATCGTAAGAACGAAAGAACAGCACACGCGTACTCCCAGCAGTGAAAGGGGGCGCTCCAGTAAGGCCCCGAGGGCCCGGCGTTCCAGTTCCAGCGGGTCGAATGCTTTTGATTCACCGCGAACGTCATCGAATAGGACCACCAGCAGCTCCTCGATGCGGGGGCGCCGCTGGAAAGCCTGGCCAACGTGCCCCGCTCGGGCGGAGAATCGGCGCCCGGGGAAAGCGCGCAAACCGGGGGGTTCATGTCGAAGGCCAGTGTTTTCTCAATGTTCGAATGTTTGCCCCAAGTGTAGTCTAGCATGGCTTTGTGAGGAGTGTATCACGACGGAAGAGCACAATTGCCATCATATCGCGATGCAAGAGTGAGCGGAAAGAAACAGACATGATCGGGGACAGCTGAGAGCTGCGAGTGTGCATATGCAACATATCATCTCTGAGCCGCAGGAACATGAGAAGGCCGCCGAAGACGCTCAGCGACTGCTTGCAGTTTCCGAGGCTGAAGGACAAGCAATTGCGCGAAATATGGAGCACGAGAAAACCATCATTCTGGAAAACACGCAGAAACCTGAGTCAGCGTGCTGAGGCCAACGTAGCAGACGTGACAGACGAAGCACACCGGCGCCTTGCTCAAGAGGAGATTGAAAGATTGAGAAGCCAGAGCATTGCTGAACAACTGGTGTCGGGCTCTCGGCAGAAGGCTGAAAGAGAGAAAGCTGAATGCAGAGAGAAGGCTGATGCTGCGAGCAGGGCAGGAGAGATAGAAGCCCGAGAACAAGCAGCGCGAGAAAAGCAGGAGCCCCGCAATCAACTTGAAGCTGCTAGACTCGAGGCCGAAAGAGTGGAATCTGAGGCCCTGCGAGCCCTTCGAGAACAAGAGCGGAAGACCCAGGCAACCTGAGAAGAGGACCAGAAAAGAATGGCCGATGCCTGGGGCCGTCTGAAGGGGCACGCGCACGAACATAGAAGAAACAACGTGCTTGCAACTCGGGCCGTGAGCGAGGAAAACAAGAGGTTGAGGTCTGACCCCAAGCAGCGACGGATGGGCCAAGAGGTCGAACCAACGCTGGCGCGGCCGGCGCACGTTGAGCCGCCTCCTCGCCCAATCGCTGCTCGCCCTATTAGGGCGCCTGGCGCCTCGCGAGCCCAAGCGCGATCAGGCGCTCCGAATCAGACCTGTCGGACCTGTCGCATGTGCATGAAACCTTCGACCGAAGTATGCAGGGGTTGTTTGAAGCACGCGTGCTAGGACTATGCGGATATGAGTGCCAAACGCTGTGATGAATGCGCTTGGAGGAAAACGCGAGGACATCAGGATGGCCGCGGGGAGAGGGAAGAACCTCGAGGCATACCTGATACCCAGCGGGCAGGCAATGATCCTGATGGAAAGGCACCGAGACACTCGGCCTCGCCTATGGGCGTTGGGCCCGAACGCCAGATGAGCAATCTTGCCGATATTATGGGCGTGCCATTTTCAAATCGGAAAAGTCGGATCTGAGTATGATTCCGATGTTGACCGCTCCGTCGATGCCAGCGCTTCCTTTCGCAAAATCGCATTTCACTCCTGGGCCGGCTGTCGAGGAGACCATGGGGGCGAGTGAAGGTCCGGTGCGGGGGGGCGCTCAGGGAACGAACCCTGGAAAGGCCCCTTTCAACGCGAAGGTGTCGGATCATCCTGACAACCTCGACTTGCCTGGGCACCTTCCGTTCGCCATCGGCCCAGCCGTGTCTGGTGAAGGGGGCGGAGACCCGGGGGGCCACGACGACGATCAGAGAGATGATCAGAGTGCAGCCCCCAGCGCAGGGATGATTGTTGCGTTGCAGTTTTATGAAACGGATAAGTCCAAGCCACCTAGAGACCCTCCAGGGGGGCCTGGTGGCGACTGTGACCCAGGCGGAGATGGCGGGGGGGGGGGGGCGAATGATTGCAGCGACCCGACCTGGCCGCCAATTCGCGCCAAACAAATGGAGATACATCGGAGAAGTTTTGTAAACAATAAATAATTAAACTTGCTCGATGTACCGAGCGCCCAGACACTCCGAGACTAGGCAACGTTGCATGAGAGCGGTATCTGGATCATGGCATGACGTTCGCGCGGCGCAGGCGGGTCAGCGAAGCCGTGGGCCCTGATGTGCCCGGGGGGAATCTTAGAGACTCGGGGGCATTGATGCGCCTTGATTTGGTGTTCGGTACAAGCCTGCTCGAGAAATTGGCAATGATGAGGCGTGGCCAACTTCTGTCAGTGCAACATGCCCATTTCATGTCGCGAATCAGTGTGGAGCATTCATGTCAGATAGATGGACGTCACTTGGCGGGCCGAGAAATGATGCGAGCAATATGCGTTGGGTGTTCTGTCGCGTCGGAGAGCGGGCAACGCTGGATATGCTGAGACCTTCAAATTGGCCACTGATCGACAAGAGCCCAATCAGGACTTATACTATTTCTATAGTGAATGGATGGAGCGGTACCAAAAAAAGTACGGTGCCAGGGGGCCGTCGGATGAAATTAAGGCTTCGATACATGCGCATTTCTACGAACAGATCAGACAGGTCCCTAGGCTTGAGTATGCCGCGCAGTGGTATGAATTGCCGGCGGATCCTCTGGGCACGGGAATGCGCGCTTATCAATGGCTCTTGCTCCAAGTAGACTCTCTCCTGATGCGGGACAGAGAGCAGTGGGCAATCTCTGAACATGAGTCGACCCTCAATTCTAGAGATAGACAGGCCCGCCTGCCAGGTGGGACGAACGAAGGTGGCGGGGGCGGAAGAAGAGCCTCTGCTATGGCAGCAACAGTCCATCGACTAGGACTGCCCACGGATAAGTTGGCAAGCGGAAGGTCGAAAGGTGAGACAACCTGCAAGTTCGTGAAGCAAGGGGGGAATTGCCCCGAACCAGGACAAGGATGCCCCTATAATCACCAGGGGCCCAAGACACCTGCCGCA